CCCTAGTAGCGATGCCCTTTGCTCCTAGTAGCTTCTTGCTCCTAGTAGCGATGCCAGGAGTCCCTACAGTAGTAGCTTCTTGCTCCTAGTAGCGATGCCAGGAGTCCGTAGTAGCGATGCCCTTTTGCTCCTAGTAGCTTCTTGCTTCTAGTGGCGATGCCAGGAGTCCCTAGTAGCGATGCCCTTTGCTCCTAGTAGCTTCTTGCTCCTAGTGGCGATGCCAGGAGTCCCTAGTAGCGATTCCCTTTGCTCCTAGTAGCTTCTTGCTCTAGTAGCGATGCCAGAAGTCCCTAGTAGCGATGCCCTTTTGCTCCTAGTAGCTTCTTGCTCCCAGTGGCGATGCCAGGAGTCCCTAGTAGCGATGCCCTTTGCTCCTAGTAGCTTTTTGCTGGAGTCCCTAGTAGCGATGCCCTTTGCTCCTTCTTGCTCCCAGTAGCGATGCCACGAGTCCCTAGTAGCGATGCCCTTTGCTCCTAGTAGCTTCTTGCTCCTAGTAGCGATGCCAGGAGTCCCTATAGTAGCGATGCCCTTTGCTCCTAGTAGCTTCTTGCTCCTTGTGGCGATGCCAGGAGTCCCTAGTAGCGATGCCCTTTGCTCCTAGCAGCTTCTTGCTCCTAGTAGCGATGCCAGGAGTCCGTAGTAGCGATGCCCTTTGCTCCTACTAGCTTCTTGCTCCTAGTAGCGATGCCAGGAGTCCCTAGTAGCGATGCCCTTTGCTCCTACTAGCTTCTTGCTCCTAGTAGCGATGCCAGGAGTCCCTAGTAGCGATGCCCTTTGCTCCTACTAGCTTCTTGATCCTATAGTAGCGATGCCAGGAGTCCCTAGTAGCGATGCCCTTTGCTCCTAGCAGCTTCTTGCTAGTCCGTAGTAGCGATGCCCTTTTGCTCCTACTTGCTTCTTGCTCCTAGTAGCGATGCCCTTTGCTCCTACTGGCTTCTTGCTCCTATAGTAGCGATGCCAGGAGTCCCTAGTAGCGATGCCCTTTGCTTCCAGCAGCTTCTTGCTCCTAGTAGCGACGCCAGGAGTCCGTAGTAGCGATGCCCTTTTTGCTCCTACTAGCTTCTTGCTCCTAGTAGCGATGCCGGGAGTCCCTAGTAGCGATGCCCTTTGCTTCTACTAGCTTCTTGCTCCAAGCAGCGATGCCAGGAGTCCCTAGTGGCGATGCCCTTTGCTTCTAGCAGCTTCTTGCTCCGAGTAGCGATGCCAGGAGTCCCTAGTAGCGATGC